CCCCAAAACCCCAAAACCCCAAAACCCCGGCTGGTAGTATAATTATTGAATAAAATATAATGAAAGGTAGGATGAGGGAGGTGGAGAAATTGGGGGATGAGGGGGGAGGGGGATGGGAGTGAAGAGGGGGATTTTAGGGGGTTGAGGGGAGTTTTGGGGGGATTTGAAGGGGTTTATGGGGGTGAGGTAGGACTGAATAGGATAGTTTTAGGGTTTTGGGGGTTGAAGAGGATTTTTTGGGGTCAAGCTGGAATTTGAGTGGTTTGAGGTTTGCTTATAGCTGAGATTCTAGTTTTTCTGGGATATATTTTGATGAGAGTCAGTGCAAGTGATTTTGGTAGTGGAAATTCGGAATGGTGGAATAATGATATTATCATGGATAACAATTTTGATAAGACTAACTTATGGGATACTATCATTAACGAAGCTCCAGCTCTTACTGCGAGTTATAGTAAACGGAGAAAGTTAGTTACTTGCTCTTCTTTTACTAATTGCACTTCATGTAATGCAGAAGATTTATGAAAATATTCGTCTGGTAGTTGAATTGATAACCCTTCTGGAAGTAAAACTCAGCAGGAATATGCAGTGTGCCAGGATACCACTTTATCCAATCGATATTGAAAAGACTACACTGGGACAACTAGGAATCTTGTCCCAAATAGCGAGATTGATGTTATGCATATTGCTTCTGGAGGCACTATTGCACCAGGAGTCTACTGTGAATGGAAGATGACAATGGAAGACAACATTCCCGTACAATTTCTAGTCTCATGGACTAGCGAAGCGAACCAAGAAGTGTTTATTGATGTCACTATGACTGGTGGAGACACCACTCTGGTTGATAATGAGAGGATTAAAAGATTAAGATATAACTTTGAGGCGCATAATACAGTGGCAGTAACAATAGCTACAATTCAGAAAACCTCGTCTTCTTCATCAAGTTATACGTACGTTTCAGAATTTTCAGCGCATGTTTTATAACTTTTTGCATAGAGTTAAAGTTCAGAATCCGAGCAATCAGATTTCTGGGTAAGATCAAGGATAACTTCTAGATTTCTAATAGCTCTATTGATAGCCTTACTAGCTGTATGTATCACTCTTGTTTTTTGTACTTTTCTAGTGGTCGTATGGACTGCCTGTACTAGAAGAAACCGCAATATTCGTACAGTGAACTTGAGGAACAGAAATTTAAGAAGGGCTGAAAAAGAGAAGAGAGTGATCGAAATCCTCCATGTAAATATGACTCTTAATTCATAGGAAAATCCAATAATGCTTTACAAGGATATTAAAGTGGATTACGATCAAACTGCATGAGTTGTATGACTCGAGGATTTCAATAATGAATCTGATTGAGAGTAATAGTTAATTTAACAATTTTAGAATCAGAGTAATGCCTAAGTGTCATCATATTTTCCATTCCAAATGTGTAGAAGAATGGTTCGAAAACTCCACCGACGTTAACTGCCCTCATTGCAATATAAAGATGTTGACAAAAGCTGAATTAGCTATAGAAGATCCAAAAATTAAGAATGATGATGATCAAGTAGAGTAAGTAAATTTTTATTAGTCTCAAGATCTTTCCAAACTGAAACCAATATGCTTAGGCTTGAAAACAGAAATACACAAAATCTTCAGCAAATGCAAAGCCCAGAGAGACAAATGGTTGCCACTCAAAGAACTCAAGGAACTCCACAGTTACCTCATGAGGAGTCTAAGAATCAGATGTTACCTTTGCATATTGAGATTAATCAGGTTGAATCATCACATCCCTCTATAATCCCACTAAACAACTCCCTTGTGAACCCTGAAGATCCTGTGCCTCGCTCTACATCGACTCCAGTTGAGTCTTTCCGAGCAAATTCTTAGGCTGCGTTTAATTAATTTTGTTCAGGCTGGATATATGAGATTTCAACAACCAGGGTCCCCTAAGGGGTTTTGGGGTTTTGGGGTTTTGGGGTTTTGGGG